AAAGCACGTATTACTTTTTAGTTGATATTATTATTTTCACTTTAGTAATTTAGATTATAATCACATATATGTTTTATGTGCATGATTTCACTTTAGTGGACACTTATTTTGTTTATTTGATATTTATCCACTAGGTATTTTGGTTCACAATGTTTATCTTAATTTAAGCCAGTAGCTTGGTACATTGGTTCCACATGTTTATGCTGAAGATCATTGGTATATGATTTAATGTGAGCAGCTTCTCGGGATTAATAAATTTTTTGGAAGGTATCCTGAGCGCAGGATGTTCACACCATTATCTGTCAATTGATGTCTCCCATGACTAAAAGAACTACAAGAATATTGTGATGTTACCCCTTGAAGTTTTAAATTAAAACTATATTAATATATAATTATTATTTTTTTTTTTACATCTGAACCGTTATTCTCTATGTTTGTTTTCATTTTGATTATCTTTAGGACAGAATAATGTCTTTCATTTCACCGCAGTCAACGGGTGAAAGTCATGAGGCTTGTAATGCTAATAAAAATATCATCAATTGTGTAACTTTTTAAAACATTTCAAAAGAAAGTGTTCACAATTAAAGCAATATTAACCACCAAAACATTTTTTTTAATTGCAGCTCACCAATTGTTAGATGTGGTGTCTGCTTTAGTTTTCTTTTTTTTTTAGGCTTTTGTTTCCTTTATTTTCGATAAGTAAATATAAATGGCGCCTATAGAAAAGATCTTAATCTTATTAGCCAAATAGCCAATGTCTATTCTACCACCTGCAAAATCCGCCCTATAATCATAAGGTGTATTAACAGAAAAACAAACAATTTGCGCTAGTAACAATATAAATACAAATATATGTGAATAAATGTCCCAAAAAAATATAGAAATAAATATAAAGTCCAATAAAGTGAAAAAAAACACAAAAAAAAAGTGGCAATCCACCACCAAATATACTAACTTAACTCACCAGAGCTAAATGCTGATAATATTAAATCAGCATAAAGTGCTATTTGCTCTGGGAGTGATGGTCAGCAGGCTGATGAAACAATGCTTGGCTTTAAAACTTGATCTCCAGGGGGCAATACTCTGCAAAAACCAGTACTTGGCTAACAAATCGATATCCAGGGAGCAATACTCTGCAATCGGATGTGTCACTAGGAAAATCCACTTCTTATAGATATCCATATCCGTAGGGTATTAGACCAGGCACTCGGGAAAAAACAACAGCTCATAGTGCAGTACCTTTTAAAATGAATTAATTTAATATGCACACATCCCACTTACAACAAATGGTGTCCTAGCCGACACCAGCAACAATGGCATGTCAAACACAATAGTAGAACCCAGCCACTCAGCACATGCGCCGTGGACCACTGGGAAACGTAATGACGTCACATCAATCAAGCCCCGCCCTATGCGTTTCGTCATCGACGTCCTCACGGAGCGGAAAAGAAAGTGTTCACAATTAAAGCGATATTAACCACCAAAACATTTTTTTTTTAATTGCAGCTCACCAATTGTTAGATGTGGTGTCTGCATTAGTTTTCTTTTTTTAGGCTTTTGTTTCCGTTATTTTCACCTGGTAATCTGGCGAGTAAAGCAGACCATAGACAAGTTGAAAAGCAAAAGATCTGCTGAACAGAAATAGCTCATACGATTGTGACATCAATTGTTTCGATTTTCCAAAAAAAAAATAGCATATTGGATCAGGCATTTTCGATTGTGGCACGAAAATCACGTGTCGCAGCTGGCACACTAATGATGCAAAAACAACAGACAATCAAAACAAATGCAGCCACAACATCTAATGATTAATAAGCTGCAATATTGTACATTTTTAGTTTTGGGTTTAATACTGCTTCAGGTTGTCATTTTGCTGTTCGCTGTGACCCTGTATACAGTGTTCCCATTAGAATAAATTGAATCAGTTTGGATGTTCGCTTTCTGATACTGATTTAAAGTATGTGTAAACCCTAAGGCCTCTTTCATATGGGTGTTCCTTATGTCCGTGTTTCATCTGTCCGTTTACAAATGAAAAACAGACACCTATGTATTTCTATGGACTAGAGGATATAAACGGATGATCATCCGTTTACATCTGTTAATGTCCGTATCTGTTAACATACTTTTTTTTAATGGAAAAAAAACCCTATTTAAAGAAAAAAAAAACGGAATGGAAGAAAAAACTGATGTAAATGGATAAAAATGTATGTAAACAGATGAAAATGGATGAAAACCAGATGTAAACGGATGTAAAATGGATGTAAGCAGATGTAAATGGAAGAATAATGGATGAAAAAAACTGATGTAAACTGATGAAAAACGGATGTAAACTGATCCGTTTTTTTCTTTGAAAAAACATGACCGAACTGATAAAAAAAAAACAGAACGCCTGTGTGAAAGGATCCTAACAATGCACTTCTCCGATTTGTGAAAAAGTTTACCATTTGTTATATCTGTTAAAAAAAATACATACCTGTTGATCGTGTTCACAACTCAGAGTTATCCGGTGTCCTGTTAACTCTTCCCCTACTATCTCAACAAGTCTAATCAGCACTCTTATCTTGGACTATTAAACAATTATTACCTATACTGTGGCAATGAGTAAAGTGGGAGGAGTTCTGTAGTTTAGCAAAGGACAACTGGGCAGGGCTGACACCATTTCTTGCAATTTCAGTTCAGAAAAAACCTTGATCATATAAAAGTAGGCACTGATAAAAAAAAATGACCTGGGTGATGACAGTGGTCACTACATAGTGTCACTTGGCTTTAGGAAATAGGAAGGTTTTCTGGCTTTTCAATGCAGTGCCTGGGCAATAATGTGACTATAGCCCCAGTTATGTTGAGAATGGTGGAGAAATAGTAAATACACCATGCTGTCAGAGGGTTAATTGCTTAGGAAACAGAAAGAAGATAAAAGTCTTCAGTATCTTGTTTTATGTATACTAGCTATGCAGAGAGACTGGTGTTCTGAAAGCAGAATAAACAGACAAGTTTTTAAGCAGACAGTATCCAACTAACAAAGTGTTTTAGATCACATAAATCAAAACGTTTTTTTTTTTTCAATCTCTGATCATTCAACCAATTAAAATACATTGACATTCATCAACATTAGTCATCTTAATAAATGCTATTTATGAACATTTAAGAAAAATCTATGCTGTAAACAAGTATATGAAACTAAATAAGTATAAATCAGCACACACAAATACACAAAATCCTCAAAAATCCCTTAAAGTCATATCAATATCCTTCCCCTGAAGTACCAATAACTAATATATTCATTGACTTAAACAAAACCCACAATTACAATGAAAAATCAAGTCCCAAAGGAATTTCCCAAAAGGTTATGCAAAAAATAATAAAAATAAACTAAAATAAAAATCCCAACACACAAAGTGTCCAAAAAAAAATGTGCCCAAAATGAAATCAGATCTTGATAGGAAGGCGCTTCCTACTCCACTGAAGAAGATAAATTATTATTTATTTATTTCAGGTACTTATATAGCTCCGTCAATTTACACAGCACTTTACATATATATTTTACATTCACATCAGTCCCTAACCCTCAAGGGGTGTACAATCTAAGGTCCCTAACTTACATTCATACATACACATACTAGGGCCAATTTAGACAGGAGCCAATTAACCTACCAGCATGTCCTTGGAGTGTGGGAGGAAACCGGAGTACCCGGAGGAAACCCACGCAGGCACAGGGAGAACATGCAAACTCCAGGCAGGTGGTGCCGTGGCTGGGATTTGAACCAACGACCCTAGTACTGCCAGGCAGAAGTGCTAACCACATAAACCACTTTATGTAAATAAACAATAAGAACCTCCTGCGCTACTCAAAAAAATGGACTAATAACAATTATGGGGAGGAGTCTGCTGACACCCAACCATATACCAAATGGATAATGTGCAAAATATAAAGTGAATTGGTGCAGCGCTACCCCAACACTACACTACTCCCTCACTGTCTTATCCCAAAAATAGATGAAATAAACCAATAAATGATGTACAATAAATACATAAAATAGAATAGAATGCACATAAAACAGTTTGAATCATCCAAAATGACATACAAACCGTATAAATGACTAATGAATGCCACCGGTGCAGTTCAGTGAATACAACAAACCATTCTTTCACAGTTCATACAGTGAGCTGATCCACTAAGTGATCCATAGTGGAACAAGAATTGAATAGATAATGTGTGGATAAAGAAACGCCAGTGAAAGAAAAAGTCCTGATGGGACGTCAATAATAATGAACTATAATAAACATAAAAGGTGAATCTCTAAATGTGGGATCAATACTCACACTAAAAGTAATGGTGACCACAAAGGCTGTAAATTAGCCAAAATTAGTGGAAAATAGTTAATCCCTGAATATGGGATCAAATATATCACATAATTGTGACAAGTGCAGTGATAATAATAATCAACATAAAAAGTGAATCCCTGAATGTAGGATCAATAAATTCATTAATATTAATAGTGACCATAAATTAGCCAAGAAATAGTGAACAAAAAATACGTGAATCCCTGAATGTGGGATCAATAAATACATTAATATTAATAGTGACCATAAATTAGCCAAGAAATAGTGAAAAAAAAATGTGAATCCCTTAATGTGGGATTAAATATATCACACTAAAGTGACAAGTGCAGTGGTTATGAGACCGAAAAAATTAAATAATTAAAATGAATAAATAAATAAAACATAAATATGTGGTATCACAACAAAACGCGATATTCAAAAACCACTGTTCCAGTGTCACATAAAAAATGTCCAGAAAAATAAAGTTCAATGGTGTGTAGAAAAACACCAAATAATACAACAACTCAGAAGGTGCAGGTGATATAGTTATATTCGCATGACAACCAGAAGGAAATAATCCATAAACGGCTGAATTGCCCCCTTACCTCTTTGAAGCGACCCAAAGGGCCATAACGCCTGTTAGAAACCAAGAATGACCAACAGTGGTATCCCCTTCACAGCAGGGGTGGACTGACAACTCATGGGGCCCCCAGACAATAGGGGATCATGGGGCCCCTGTGTCCTTGCGCACACTCAAAGCACACCCAAAAAAAAAAGCCTATAAAAGGTACCAGGGGCATTTCATGGGGCCCCTTACTGACCCCGGGCCCTCGGGCAGTGCCCAAGTGTTGGAATGGTCAGTCCGCCCCTGCTTCACAGGTTAGTAAACAAAGCAGCAGGATCCCCCTCAGGGATGTTATGGTATAATATAGCCAGCTCACATCAAAAGGTCGATGCATGGGTCTACAAACAGCTGATTGGCCAATCAGTGATCACATGAATAGTAGTAAGCAAGATGTCACTTGCTGACATCATTGCTTACTACTTGTGAAATCTGTGAATGGTCACAGAGGTCACATGGTACAAGGCTATTCACAACAGCCTTGTACCATGTGACAAGCTGTGACCAATCACAGCTCTCACAGTATTTCTCAGATGCAAAAAAAAATGCAAAAAAATTCATATGGGTACAGTGTTGCATGACCGCACAATTGTCATTCAAAGTGTGATAGCACTGAAATCTGAAAATTGGCCTGGACTGGAAGGGGGTGAAAGTGTCTGGACTTGAAGTGGTTAACCAATGAAAACGAATGTATCTGTATGGTCCTCCCGCACTCTAGGTCCCCTATTTAGTATTTCTCAGGGTCACGTGTTAGTGTGACGTAACGCGTAGGACTTGGTGATGTAATTTCCATCACAGACGCCATATTGGGACTCTAATACAAGCCCATGCAAGTACACCCCACAGCATGTGGTTTTAAGGTTTATGTAAAAGTGATTACACGTGATTATCACACTATGGGCGCATCTTCTTTTATATTCATTCCGACTGTATGAGATTTGGCTGTTCCTATACTTATGCAGGCCATAGACGGGTCAAAAATCGGCCGATTTTTCAGCTGAAAAAAAAATCGGCCGATTTTCGCACCGTTAGTGAGTTAATTGGTACGCCGTTTTTCTGCGTTTTGGCAAATTTTTTTCATCGGTAAAGTTGGAAAAAAATCAGCCGATTTTGCAGATCGGCCAATTTTCCCGGCAATGATGGGCAAATCGGCCGATCATTTAACCGATAAAAAATCCGTGCATGAGCCGTGACCTGCAAGAAGAAGAAAAAGAAGAAGACGAAGAAAAAGAAGAAGAAGGAGAAGAAAAAGAAGAAAAAGAAGAGGAAGAAGAATTCCAGTCCGCTATTATATTTTACATGAAAAAGTATTGTCGTTGCAACAATGTATCTATTTGTATCCGAATAAAAAAACATCTGCATCCGAATTGAATACAAATGGATATATTGTTGCAACCGCAATACTTTTTCATGTCAAATACAATAGTGGAGCTCTCTGCAAGGGACAGAAGTAATTAAATGCCGGCCGTAGACGGGACGAAAATCGGCCAATTTTTTTTACCATTGGTGGTAACGTCGGCCTATTGAACAACCGATTTTTTTTTTTTTTTTTTTAACGGCCGGTTTTCGACCCGGCTATGGCCTGAATTACTGCTCTGGAGAGGGTTCCTGCTGTGCCGATATGCACCAGTGTGGGGGATTGACCCATCTGCTGACCTGATATCTGTGGAAGTGGATCATGGCTCCTGGTTGATGCAATAATATATGAAAAAGGCTTTTTGGCCCTGCAGGGTCACTTCATGGAGGTGGGGGGGCATTTTGCCTAGTGTTGGATCTCATTGTATTGTGTATACACCTTAAAAACACCAACACTATCTAAGAACTATTAACTACCTTCACTGTTTAAGGTGTATTGGACTTCATGTTTTGGCTGGACCATATGCAGTTCATGTGACTCATCTATATCGGGGCTTCTGTATATTATTCAGGACCTATTTGGTCCATATAATTCATGTCACTTTACACTATTCACATACCCCTGATTTAGGGGTCACTGTTTTGTGATTTCACGTGTATTCTATTCATCACTTCTCTCACTTGTATCTGTAAGTTTTAGCGGATTATATATCTCAACAACAGAGTTGTGTTGCACAAAGCCTTGTGGCTTTATTTTCCTTTACACAATTTCTACTGTTTATTTATTTTATTTTTCACTTCCACCCATTTTTCATTATGTTCACTCTGAACACCTATACTTTGGGAGCATTTCTTATAGCAACAAATTAGTTGCATTATAGAAGTTTTGTCGCTTTACTCTTATCATTGTTCTTCGGGATCCTAAAAAGGATCATAACACTGTTTTGTGGGCTCAATTTAAGAAAGAAGCAGTATATATATATATTTTATATATATATGTTTTGTTCACCCATAGTCACCTATTTATTTCTAGTGGTGTACCTAGGTTATGCCTTTTTATGTTTGGGTATTATTCACTGCTATCCACAGATTTGGGTGTTTTCATGTGTATTCTATTCAATATTTTATTTTTGTTTTTGCGCATATTATCATAGCTATTTTTAGTATTATCAATACTGTGTGTGGTATATTCATAACAGGAGTTTATATTTCACTTAGAATTAGCACAGCACCTATAAGTCTTATATTAACCATGATGAAAACTGGCACTGTTAAATTTGACCTGGGCATCTAGGCTTAATGACCCTTGGTTATGAAATCTGGTTGTCATGGGTTTCATATTCAGAAGGATTGAAAACATGAGGCACTCTGTCATTTAAATGAACACTGGAACCCTGCTTCTCATTCTCAGAAGAAAGTATCTACCTCCTGCCACACATTTACTGTCTATACAGTCCATAGTATGGCTGACCGCATGAAAGGTCAATACTTCTTCATTAAAGTCATGTACTTGAGTAGCACAGTGGCTAAATGGTTAGCACTTCCACCTGGCAGTACTAAGGTTGTTGGTTCGGGTCCCAACCCCACCTGCCTGTGTGGGTATTCTCCGGTTACTCTGGTTTCCTCCCACACTCCAAAGACATGCTGGTAGGTTAATTGGATCCTGTCTAAATTGGTCCGAGTATGTATGAATGTGAGTTAGGGACCTTAGATTGTACACCCTTGAGGATTAGGGACTGGTGTGTACATACAATATATATGTAAAGCCCTGTGTAAGTTCATGGTGTTATATAAATACCTGAAATAAATGAACTTGCTGTTCCTTTACCTCGTGTATTAAATGGGATGCACCAGTCTATAAGTATAAGTTTGCCTGTGTGGATAATCTGTCTGTTCTGCTGAGAATTGCTCTCCCTATCCAGTTTCCTATATTAAATGCTAAAATTAGTTTTTATCTCATTGTTTAATCCACACTTTGTACTCTGCTGTAATAAAGTTAATTACACAAAGCACATTTTTATAAATGTTGTCCTTTTTTAACCACTTTCCTACAGGGCACTTATACCCCCCTTCCTTCCCAGGCCAATTTCCAGCTTTCAGCGCTGTCACACTTTGAATGACAATTGCGCGAACATGCAACACTGTACCCATATGACATTTTTATCATTTTTTTGAGACAGATAGAGCTTTCTTTTGGTGGTATTTAATCACCTCTGGGATTTTTATTTTTTCTTAAAAAATCCAAAAACCACTGAAAATTTTGAAAAAAAAAACTTTTTTTCTTAGTTTTTGTTATAAAATTTTGTAAATAAGTGATTTTTTCTCTTCACTGATGTGCGCTAATGAGGCTGCCGTGATGGGCACTGATAGGCTGCACTGATGGACACTGATAGGTGGCACTGATGAGGAGGCACTGGTAGGTGGCACTGATGGGCATTGACAGGCATCACTGATGGGCACTGAAAGGCAGCACTCATACATGGCACTGATAGGTGGCACTGATAGGCGGCACTGACTGGCACTGTGGCACTGTTAGGTGGCACTGGTTGGCACTGTTAGGCGACGCTGATAGGCAGCATTGTCGGGCACTGATAGGCGGCACTGATGCGCACTGATAGGCGGCACTGACTGGAACTGATTGGCAGCACTGCTAGGTAGCACTGACTGGCATTGATAGGTGGCACTGACTGGCACTGATAGGTAACACTGAAAGGCAGCTCAGATGGGCACTGATATGTGGCATTGATGTGCACTGGTAGGCACTGATATGTGGCATTGATGTGGCACTGATGGGTGTGACGGGCGCAGCGTCAGACCCCCAGCCCTTCCCACCAACTCGTGACCGAAGGACTAGCCAATCTAAAACACGCTGTCACGTGCGTAACAATGCCACGCTCAGCTGCACCCTGCACAAAGATTTTCCAGCTCACTGGACCACAATCTATGTGCCGTAGCCTGAGAGCGATTGTTAGTAAGTCAGGTTAAGTATGCAATTAACCCTTCACACTGCCACCACCACCTTTTTGTACTGAGAAGGAGGAAACTCGCCAATCTTAGCAGTAACACTATGATGTTTGAAATAAGCGTCTGTATACACACTGTCACCGCAAGCAGATGTATGCAGAAGTTTAAAACACACAGTAGCACTCTTCAGAGACAGGGATTCTTAGTTTGCATTAAAGAGCTTTAGAAACAGTTCAACACTTTTCAGATTTATTATTAAAAAGGTCAAAATGGTGCAATAAAAATATTTACAGAAAAAGATGTAGCCAATATATATATATAAAAAATACAGAGAGCAATAACACAACAGATAGATAACAGAAAGAAGTTTAGAGAGGTAGAATACTTACAGAAGTCCTGGTTTAAGCAGAGTCCAAGTGTCCGAACAAAAGGGTGCCTTTTCTCCCAAAGTTGGTTCCTGATGTTAAAAGGGAGATCTCTTCATCTTACCTCTCTTGGGCCAGACAGCCTCTTTTCTAGTCCCCCAGCAGGGGGTGTCTCAGAAGCCAAGGGCCAATCGCCTCATGTGGGGAGGGGGTTTAGGCGGAGACCCCAGCTGTGACCCAAATCCCTCTCAAGTTTATACCAGGGTCAATAACCTTCCAGGTACAGGTAGCATCCTTTCCACTGGTAGGATAATATGCAGAATGATATTCTGAACGTCCAGACACCAAATATGACATATTTGCTTGGGGTGGTTAAGTAAATATCGCTTTCTGCTCTCGGGTAGACGTAATCTAGGGATGTATGGTATCAGGTGACTCGCATTAAAACTGACCTATCCAAATATATGCTTTGTTTGATTGTACGTATTTCCTATGAGAAGTTATGCAATTGTATGAAAATGTGGTTTCCAAATGAGATGTATGTTGTACTGCTATTCTGGAATGATTTTAAGTCCAGTGACTGGCGGGTTTATAGCTTTATGAGCAGCTCAGAGCAAGAGTTGGACAGACAGTATGGCATCAGCTAATTGGGTTTACAACCATGAAGGGTATCCAGATGTGCCCTGTGCACTCCTGAACTCAGTCACACCAAACCACATGCCATTCAACAAAAAGGGGAGGGGGGGACTGATTTGGCGTGAGAATGACACAAGATGGAGGATCTTTAGCAACATGGTTGTCCGCGTCCATATCTGTGCGCACGATTGCTACAATGGGCACTGGCAGGTGGCATTGATGAGCACTGACAGCTGGCACTGATGGACACTGACAGGTGGCACTGCTGGAGCTACACTGATCATCAGGGCACACTGATCATCAATGCCCTGATGATCAGTGCACATGTCCCCTCTGAGTAAAGCCGATTACCGGCTCTCCTCTCCTCTTGAGCTGTCAGCGTGACAGCTAACCGGCGTTTCCCTATTTACATGTGATCAGCTGTGATTGGACACAGCTGATCACATGACCGAGCCGAAATCTTCGACTCTTTCTGTTGATCGGTGATCCGCTGTATCCGAGGGACACAGCGCACCAGCAATCACCGCGCTGCGTGCTCCCGGATCCGCGCATGCGCAGTAAGAATGGGAGGGAGTCATATGATGTCCTCCCAGAATGAGAGAACTGCCTTGCACCCATCATTACCTTATATGGCGGGTGGGAGGCGGTTAACATGCCTTTATTATTCTTGATTTTTGAGAGTTTTGAAAAATATAATCTGAAAACAGGTAACGTAAAGCTCTTACCACAGAAAGACTATGCCAAAATATTGGCCAAACTTAGTTAAAAGTTAACTCTGGGCACATTAAAAGAAACACATTAATGTACCTTTGTGCTCATTAATGCATAATTACAATTGGCATCAGCCTCTTGCAGTCTTGTGCTGGAGTGCTCATGTGCTACTAAATAAGTATTCATGCTGATGGGAGGAGAGAGCACAGCGACAGAGAAAGGAACTCATCATTTTGCTCTATCTCCTTTTGCTGTCTGGGAAGGGACAAGACATGTAATGGTTAACTGCAGCAAAGAAAGAATTGGGTCACCTGTCTTGTCAGATAGGGCTGTGCTAGGTGGCGGAGCTTTGTATATCTCAGAAATGGATGAACAGAAATAGAAATCCTTTGTCCTGTTTAACAGCCTTTATATATACACAGCACATTTAATATGTGTATTTACTGCATATGTTTAGGGAGTAGGGCTCAGGCAGAAAATATTTTGTATCATTATGAAAAGGTTGATCTGATATTTTAAATATTTTGATTGTAGGTTTTACAGTATTGGAGGGTATTGTACCAGGATGGGATCCATTATCTTGAAATCCATTATCCTTAAAATAAACATAGAAGACACAAATTAATATGAATTAATAAACTATTGCTAATTTGCCTTGGCCACAGACAGCAGGGAAAATAATTGACGGAAACTCCCGTATTCACTTAAAGTAAGATTTGTTTTTTTAATATAAATAAAAAGATGTTATACTTACCTACTCTGTGCAACAATACTGCACAGAACTGTTATTTAACTCCTCTTTTGGAAGTCCCTCTGCCAACTCTGTCCGCTTCTCCCTGTTCGGGTGTCCTTACCAAACCAAGTGCTATGGGGGCACCTATGCACACGAGTTGGGCAGTGTGCATCCACAGATGCACACAGTGCTAATAAACCATGCCCCATGTTTTTAAAAAATTCAAAATTCCACTTGGCAATCCAAAAACATAGCAGAAAGTTAATTGACTTCTTCCCAGTGTGCCCCTAGTGTATCTATTATTAAAGTGTTAGTAAACCCCCAACAGAAACATCAGTCTATATATGCAGTAAAGTATGCTTGTTATACTCACTATGGAACCCAAGGGGTTAATCCTCCACATTGTGTAAAAAGTCTGTTTGACCCTGTCTTCTCTGGTCATTCCCTTCTTCTACTGTACCCAATCCATCTGCTGGAAGTACAGAGCTCTAGTAGTCACTCTGCACATGCTCAGTTTAGTGTATATGGCTAGAGAGTTTTTTTTTAATTTGGGAGAGTGCATGTGATCAGCACAGGGCCAATTAGCACTGTCCAAAAATAGGGTCACGGGTCATGCAGACTCATAGGACAGTCAGAGCAGAATGAAAACTCCTCCTACAAAATTAATCAGTGCTCAGCCGGACACTGATAGTCACAAAACTACTATAATTGCTGATGAGAAAAGGTATTTAGCAGTTTATATTTACTAAAATAATTTCCATGTTTGATGTACTGTGGGAGACCAGATACAGTCAATACAGGGTCATGAGTGTACTAACACTTTAACCACTTGCCGCCCTGCCACTGTAGATAAACGGCGGCAGGGCAGCACTGGCAGGCAAAACCACATTTTAAAACGTGTGTTTTGTAAACAGCTAGGGGGCGCGCCACCACCCTATCTGTCCCGCCGATCACAGCCGCAGATGTGAGTCGCCGGGGTCACAGCCGGTCCTTACCGGCTATCTCCCGGCAATCGGCGGCAAACAGTGACAGACAGTACAGCTGCAGTAGCTGTGCTGTCTGTCACTTCCCTGTCAGCTCGAGGATGAGCTGATCGAGAAAGAACAGTTTCTCTTTCTCGATCAGCCTTGTCCCGTCTAGTACACACCCCCCGCCCCCTAGTAAAACACTCCCCTCACTCCTATAACCCTTCCCTGCTAAATAAAGTTAACCCCTTCCTCCCCATTGCCATTAGTACAGTGTCAGTGTTTTTTTTTTTTTTTGCACTGATCACTGTATTAGTGTTTTTGGGGATGTCAGTGACCCCAAGTCAGTACCCCCCAATGTCAGAATGTCCCGCCATAAGTTGCTGGTCGCTGCCATAAGTCCCTGATCGCCGCCATAATTCGCTGATTGCCGCCATTATTAGTATAAAAAAACCCCTAAAAATCCCAGTATCTTTCCCGCCATTTGTAAACGCTATAACTTTCACGTAAACCAATTAATTTACACGTATTGGGTTTTTTTTTTAGCAAAGACATGTCGCAGAATGCATTTTGGCAGAAATTTATGACTAAATTAGATTTTTGCATTTTTTTTTACTGGACATGTTTTATAACAAAAAGTCCAAAATATTGTTTTTTTTTTCTTCAAAATTGTCAGCCTTTTTTTTATAGCGCAAAAAATAAAAACCGCACAGGCAATCAAATACCACCAAAAGAAAGCTCAATTTGTGGGGAAAAAAAAGGATGTAAATTTCATTTATGTACCGTATTGCATGACCACGCAATTGTCCGTTAAACTAGCGCAGCGCTGTATAGCAGAAAAATGGCGTAAATTGCATTATTTATACCATAGTTTGTAGACGCTATAACTTCCACACAAAGCAATCAATATACACTTATTGGGATTTTTTTTACCAAAAACATGGAGCAGAATACATTTTGGCCTAAATTTATAACCAACTTTGAGTTCACTATATATTTGTTATAGCTGAAAGTAAAAAATATTGTTTTTCTTCAAAATTTTTGGCCTTTTTTTGTTTATAGCGTGAAAAATAAAATCTCACAGGTGATCAAATTACACCGAAAGAAAGCTCTATTTGTGTGAAAAAAAGGACGTACATTTCGTTTGGGTGCAGCATTGCATGACCGCGCAATTATCAGTTGAATTAGTGCAGCGCCGAGTAGCAAAAAGAGGCCTGGTCATTAAGGGGGATAAATCCTCTGGAGGTCAAGTGGTTAAGGTGGGAACATTAGATTGTAATCTCCTTACTCAGACTGGCACAAATGCTTCCATGTGTTCCCCTAAACTACTAGATAACATTGAATTTACTGCAAAGAAATATTGACATTTTTTTTGGTGGCATAATTTGTACTGCAGGTGGTCCTTGATATCGGCCTTCAAAA